ACTGATCCCCCTACTCGCGGGCGGATGTGGTGTTCGATTTGCTGGTCAGCGTTGAAGATGCCTTAAGTACTACTTTTTTTCGAATTAAGATGTTTTGGACTTAGTATTATGGACCATTGAAATGAATGAACAAACACACTAAACTGCATCTATACATTCAATTCAATTAAAAAAGAGTATAATAAACTTATTTTGCTAAAATAGGGCTCCTCCGCGAGACGTCGTCTGCATTGGCCGCGGCGGCCCTCCACACCGTGAAGAGGTAGCGGAGCGGCTCCTCCGCGAGAGGCAGGCAACCGCCGGACAAGGTTGTCTCGGCCATTTGACGCCCTTCCACCGCTGGAGCGACGATGACGACGGCACGGACGACGATAACGGTGCGGCAGGGCAGGGCGGCCACGCGTACGAGGTGGTTGTCCCGTATAGGGTTTAGAATTATTGTTTTTAGTTTTTAGTAAATGATCGAAATATCAACCTTTTTATGCAAAATTATGTCCGAACTTCAATGAAAATCTGTCGTGTTTGATGAATTTTGTCCGGTTTGTTCAAACCCGGCTTGAGATGTATGCGGCTAGCATTGTTGGCGAGCTCTCGCATCCGTGTCCACGGACTGGTCCCTTTACTTGCGGACGGATGTGGTGTTCGATTTGCTGGTCAGCGTTGAAGATGCCTTAAGTACTACTCCCTCCGTCCGGAAATACTTGTCGGGGAAATGGATAAAATTGAATGTATCTAGAACTAAAATATTTCTAGATACATCCATTTCTCCGGCAAGTATTTTTGAACGGAGTGAGTACTTTTTTTTTTCAAATTAAGATGTTTTGGACTTAGTATTATAGACCACATACGGATTGAAATGAATGAACAAACACACTAAACTGCATCTATAATCATTCAATTCAATTAAAAAAAGAGTATAATAAACTTATTTTGCTAAAATAGGGTTCAAAAAACAAAAAGCTTGATAGTGCGTGTCGCACTAACATATACATCAGCATCCACAATCAAATTTCCAAATAGTTTGTGCTAGTGTGCCCATGCCGTGCACCGACTCCAGGTTGCACGTCCTATGGTATAGTAAAGACAGACAAACTGGGTTAGGGTCAGGCCGGTGCCTCCGAGGAGGCAATACGGGCATCAGCGCAAGTCCCTTTAAGCAGGGAGAGACCGTTCAGCTCTAGCGGTATGGGACTAAAATAAACCTGAGCACAGTAGCACACCTACGGCTCGTATCGGGCCGAGATCACGTCAAGCTTCTACAGGCCTCGAGGCCCGTGGCCCATGTAAGCACGATGGCTTTCCTTCGAAAACTAAAAACAAATAAGCACAATGGTGGCTGACAGCGTGGCCAGCAAATGTCGACGGCGATCGAGCGAGTTTGTCAGCCTTCCATCTGCGAGGCTACCAAGGCACAAATATTTGGTTCTGGAAGACGAGATCGAGCCTGAAACCTTGGCTGCTCTTCTTGCCGTCTTGCGTAACTGCGGTGTCCCCGAGTGATGCTTGGCCTACTCTTTACTTGCATTTATACAGAGGAGAACATGTTTTTTTTTAAAAAAAAAAGGAGGATGACCCCGGCCTCTGCATCCGGGCGATGCATGCGGCCATTTTATTAATTATTCTCACAAGACCTTACAAAGTTATACAACAGCAAGACTAAAGCCACCGTCTAAGCAACAACTGTCGCTACACCTATCCAATTGATGAAGGGGCGCTGATAGCCTGGGCCTAATACCAAACAGACATCGCAGCCAAACCTAAACATCTAAGACCTGAGGTCCCAACCAGAACGCCTGTCTGGTATGGGGCACCTACCAGTCCGGCTCACTCCTCAAGCAGGACGTCTGCCGGGTATGAGGCCGCCGCAGCCACCTGCCATGAGTCCATCTTCAGAGTTGTACTGTCGCATCTACCGTGTCAGGTCTCTCTACCATCGACGCCACACGACGCCAGACAGCGCCGTCCTCCTGCGCGAGTCCATCCTCCCACATCGAACTCTGAATCTGCACTGCACCGCGCCGTCAAGATCCGTCGCCATCAATGTGTAAGATGAAGCACCGCTCCACCAAAGAAGCCGTCCGCTGGTCCCGCGAAGTCGAGTGCACCTCCAAGAATGCCGCCCCAAAGGGGGTTACGACACATGAATGCCGCCAACATCCGATCAGCTGATCTAGGGTTTTCCCCAGAGGTATTGAGTGGAGTTGGGAGCTTCACCTCGATGATGCCTTCATAAAGGAAACGATGATAAGGGCATCGTCATCACCGGCTCCGGCCATCAACCGAAGACCAGGTTTTCACCCGGATCCGCCCCAAGAAATCCACCCAACAACCTGTGCACCGTCTCGACCGCCTTCAAAGCCCCAGATCCAGCCGCCTAGACCCGGCGATCAACCGCAGCAACAGTGCCACCATGGGATCCCTGGCGCACCGGCCACTGCCTGAGTGTGCCACCACTAGAGCCTAGGAGGAGGGCTCCCACCCCGCCTCGCCAAGCCGCGAGAGCCGGCGAGAAGGATCCCACGCGCTCGTCACCGTCTCTGATCCGAACCAATCCAAAGCAGATCGCCGTCACAGATTCGCCTTGGACAGGGACTGCACCACGCCATGCCGCCGCGGGAAGCCTTAGCTTCAACAGCCGCCACCCTCTAGGGCCGCCGCCCCGGGATCCAGACAGAACCTCGCCGCTGCCACCGGCCAAGTTCCGCCACCGCCGAGCAGCCACTGCGACCTCCGCCGCCATGCCGCCGACGGATCTGGGCGAGGATAGCCATCCTCCCCGAGGACACACGCCGTAGCCTCTTCTCCGCGTACTCGCACGAGAAGCCACCGTGGCCTCGTCCCCACCCCTCGCCGAATGCCGCGCACGTGCCGCCCCGCCGCGGGCGAAGGCCGCCGCCACGAGGAGACCCGCACGCAGCCGCCACACAGCTCGGCGTCGACCCATCTGCAGCCGTGCCATGGGCCCGCCGCAGTCAAGATAGTCGCCGCCGCGCCGCCAGGATCCGCGCACCCCGGCGCCTCCGCTTGGACTGGCCGCTCCTGCAAGCCACGAACACGAGGAGGGGAGAAGGCCCCCGCCGCCAGCCACCGCGGGGGCTTTGCCCCGGCGGTGGTGGCCGGCGGCGGCGGGGAAGGGGAGGAGGAGGAGGGCTAGCGGCAAGGGGTGGCGGCGCCGCCCGTGTCGCCCGCGGGGGCTAGGTTTCCTTACAGAGGAGAACATGTGGGTACGATACCAAATGGAAAACTGGAACAGTCCCCGTACCGCGATCGAACTTACTCGTGCAATAGGAGATGTAAAGTGAGATCACAGTCATCACACCCAGCAAAAACTAGCGCACGCAAAAACGACGGCCGACGGCTGGACAAGCAGTAACTAGAGTCAACTGATACGATAGGACGATCAAAGAGATCCAAGGCGGATCTACGTGTCCTATTCCTCTTCTCGTATTCGACACGCTAGAACAGGGCGTCCAAAGGAAAAATATCAATGGAATAGAGAAAGGCGACTCATAGGCGCCGGTGCACCGGCGGAACGGTTCGGCCGGTCGCATCTGGCACATTAGTTTACCTTTTTACCAACCGTCAGATCAGCCTTTTGCCTCGTTTTTTCTTTTTAAAAAAGCACATCCAGTTGTTCGTCTGGACACCCGCCATAGACGCTCTTAGGCCTGCCTTGAAGCATCACCAGCTCGCCGCCGGTCCCGTCCTCGCCGTCCTTTGCCGCACCGCCATGCCGTCGGCAACAGCTTTTTTCTCACGCCCATTGAAGCTTTTTCAGAAAACAATTGAAGCTTTTTTCGTCAACGGTTCCAGCTTTCGCGGTTGCGTGGTGGCCGGTCCCCAAAATTCATCACCTTCGATTGAAGCTCCCCTAGGAGGCTGGTTGTAGCATTTTTTGTAATCTTTGCAGCTCCCTCCATGGCATCCACAACCTCCTTTTTCTCTCTCTTTGAGAGCTTCCAGCAGAAAAGATCGATCCAGCAAAAAATCAGAAATAGGGGAGTAGCAAAAGCAAAGACGGTGGTAGCAAAAATCGAACACCGTTGTAGCAAAACTTGGAGTGGTTCCAGCAAAATAAGATGGATCCAGTAAAAATTCATATGATTGAAGCAAAAAATCTCAGCAAAAGAACTAGAGTAGTGTTCTTGAAGCAAAAAGAACATATGGTTCCAGCAAAAATTAATATGATTGAAGCAAAAAAACTAGAGTAGTGTTCTTGAAGCAAAAAGAACATATGGTTCCAGCAAAAAAAGTGTGATTCCAGCACCTCCGATTAAGGTGGTCGTAGCTTTTTCTCTAGCCGGTTCCAGCACCTCGGAGTGTGGACGCAACCTTTTTCATGGCCGGTTGCAGCTTCTTCAACAGTTGCAGGAAAAAAAAGAGGGTTAAGGATGGGTGACGAAGGGGATGGAGTTCATCCATGGCTGCTGGAGAGAGAAGGGGATGGAGTTCATCCATGGCCGCCGAGGAGAGAAGGGGAAGGAGTTCATCCATGGCCACTGAGGAGAGAAGGGGATAGGAGAGAGGAGGGGAAGGGGATGGAGTTCATCCATTGGTTTTTTTGGTGGCTCTGCAGCTGCTCGCAGCAGCGTGCTCGGAGCTGTTCCGCGACAACAAACTCACAGCCGGTGGAGCGGGCAAGGACATGGCTGCCGCGGGGAAGAGAGACAGAGAGGAGAGGCAAGATTGGGGAGGGAGAGAAACAGAGGAGGGAGAAGATAGATGAGTGTGTGGATGGATAAGAAGGGGAGGGTGGGCGGTGCGCGGGTCCCGTAGGACACGTCATGGTGAGAAGAGCAGGGGCATTCGATCTATTCCGGGTACGTGCCGCGTGCGACCGGCCCAATCTTCGGCCGGCGCACCGGCCACAAACGTTTCCCATAGAGAAAACCACACCACATCAAATAGGCTACAACGCCATATAAACCAGACACTGGAACCATTCTTTAGATTTACACATCACCACCATTTAGATGTCTTTCGGTAAACACCACAACCATTCAAACGTGACAGTTGTGACACGGAGACACTGACATCATCATAACCATTTGGACATGTCGATTCTACAGCCCAGAAGCAGTGTTCATGAGCAGAACTTGCCATTCCGATACATGGCTGAAAGAGTTAGCGTCGTTAACGAAGTCGTGACCTTCTGTAGTTGGCGAGGATTTCCTTCACAGGAGACAAAAAGGATCGCTCAATACGGCAACAAAATCTTTTGCATTAACCATCAGCAGTGCCAGTGTGCCCCGTCGTAAGAAGGAAACATGCAAGCTTCTTCACCAGGAGAAATTGCAGGCTCAGCTAGCTGTACTTCACTCAACTCGCCCATCACTTCCTCAAGCTGTTGGAGATGGTGATAAAGATAGTTAGATTATGGATATCACTAAGACAACTATTCTAGGGCTAAGCACCAAACACAAGGAAGTGTCCAAGGAAACACAGTGTAGACTAGCGACAGAGGAAAAAAAAGGCTACAGATCTTAGGGTACCTTCGAAATATGCGTCAAAAAGTAATCATGGTGGTGCTTGCTTGACTTGGATTCAGTAGCATGAACTGTTTCCTGCATTAACCAAATGAATTTAACAAATCACATGGAGTGGTCAGTCACGTGCGGTAATAATATACTGATGAATCATGCTTGCATTGCGTCATTTCAACAGCAGACAAAACAAAGGTTCCCCAAAAAACGGACACACCCAGAGTGCTGTCCTCGTGTAGATAAAACCGATTGGAGACATGAAAAACAACCCGTTTAGGCATGCACACAATTTTGCACTAATTGTTCGGTTTAAGATCATACAATTCTTATGCTTAAATGCAAAATACGCTCAATTTCAAGCCTATATACTGAATCTAAAAGCATAAAACTTAAAAAATTCAACAGATCAAGATCAAGCATGGAGATGATACTTCCGAAGCTAGCAAAATAAACATTTCCTTTTCTCCAAGCAGGTTGACAAAAAATATTAAACAAAAGGCTCTGTCTGTGAATGCACAAACAAAAAGGAATACAGGTAGTCCATAAGAAGGCAAAAAATGGTCATAGTTGGTACACAACAATTGTGCTACCTCATCAATGTAGAAGTCAAAGTCTGCACTGGATGTGATCTTTCCGTAATTGTCAACGGCATGAGTTTTGCAGGTGTACGCCAGAAGGATTGCCCTGTCCATATGCAAGTTAAAATCCCTAAAACTCTTAACATAATCAGTCAAACATAAAAAATAAATAACTATACAGACCTTAGAGTGTTCTCATCCAATTTCATGTGCTGCGCAAGTCTGCCAATGGTTATCACTGAAAACACTTTTAGAAAGCTTCTGATATCCCCAAGAAATAGCTGTTGCTTCACTTCATCAAGAAACAGCTTCAACTGAAGACGATATACATCCTGGACAGTAAGCAATTTAGGGCTTGTTTTGTTAACAGAAGTGAAATTACAAGCTAAGCCAAAGAAAGCAACTTCTCTACAATTCCATAAACCACTGAGCCAAAGAAATACAATCGAAGCAACTTCTCTATAATTTCATAAGCCACGAGTACATGCCATGCCAGAAACCAGAAAATGGTGTTGAAACTGAAAAACTGCTGGTCAGAATCTAGTACTAAGGTCGAATTAGTACATATATATTGACATAAAACATTCCGTTGTACAAAAAAGTTCATAACAGATGTTCACAGGCTACAATAGTGTAACCTCATCTATATATGTGCCCAATTTATGTTTCTATGTATTTCCTTAAGTATATACTCCCTCCGTTCCAAAATAGATGACCCAACTTTGTATTAACTTTGTACTAAAGTTAGTACAAAGTTGAGTCATCTATTTAGGAACGGAGGGAGTAACTGTGAACTGATTAATACTGCTGAGAATTTTTACTAGGTTTATATTCGTTTTTCTAATCCCTGGTAGTTACATAGAAACTTCTCTTACTAAACCATGCTGTTCCTTTTTTTTGTTACTTCACGGTGTGGTACCAGGCTAATACAGCTCATGCTGTGGAAGACAGGGGCTTATGGGGTTACCATTTCCTTTAACTTATCCCATTCAAACTGTACCAAACCGGACTGTTGATGGAATTATTGCCCATGGCAACTCAAGGCCCTCGATACTTCTTAATGCTTATTTTACCCGGTATGCTATCGGCGCCAGTGTCAAAAGTTGTGGGGTTTCAGCTGATCACTTTGGCCTTTCAATGACAAAGGTTGTGCAAACATATACTGATGCACTAAAAATGGAACTAGCAGCTTCCTGGAGATGATAAACAAGCAAAGATACACTCTATGTTCCCAGCCTAGAAACGCCTTGGTACCTAACCCAATCTGGGATACAACAAAATATATATACAAAAGAAGAATACCGTTGCTATATTAGCTTTAGATAATACCTGGTTGTAGTTTGTGAATGGCTCTTTTAAAACTGGAGGCCATGCAGCAATGAACTTGGGGCAGGCAAGGGAAAAGAGTTCATCATAATGTGCCTGATCATCACCTCTAAGCATCTTTTCCATTTCGGTACCATACTTCCCCTTCAGCTCAATGCTAACATCTTCAGCTATTACATTGTTCTGTGGGCACAATGAGAGGCAGATTGCCAATAGTGCATACATCTGCTCATTCTTCTTCAGTACAAAGTCATACTGCGGAGACTTCTCATGGTATTGCTTATACTTCAGGATATACAGCAGAATTTTGTTGAATTGATGTATCACGTCAGCATACCTAGATCAGCCCAGAAACATGGTGAATCAGTTAAAAGCAGTTCCAGCTTGGACAATATCAAGATGCTGAAGTGCAACTAATAGCATGTGCCACTTGCACGTCACATAGCAACATATTCTCATCTTTGTACAACTGAAAAGCATGCTCCAAATTATTGATCGCGTGATATCACTTATTAGAAGAACATGATAGCCAAGCACTTTGGAGTAAGCACAGAAAACACGAATACTTTATCAGGTATATATCACTCATCAGAAACCCACGAAAATCAAGCACTTTGAGTTAAGCATGGGAAACAAGAATAATTTACTGGCAATCAATTACCGTAGACTAGCGTAAACACAGTAGGCACAAAAAGAAAAACTGCAGCAAAAGCTTTACCCGTAAGACGACATGATGTTAAACTACAATTATACATTTTTGCTAACTCACTCCAAGCTTAAAGTACACAACAATAGGACCGCGTATGGAATTGTCACATATGGGGAAACAACACAACCAGTCATTATTTGTACAAAGTAGAGGAGCTACAATTATCATATCCCATAATAAAAAATAAGTGCACTTCAGTCTTTGTAGAATGCAATATAAATATATATGGTGAAAAGGCTCAAGCTAGTGTATTACACACCTGCGCATCATGAAGTTGGCAAAACCATAGTAGTAGATAGTGGAAATGTAGCTCCCAGTCACAGTGGTGTAGACACCCTGCTGGCCAATATCTATAGGCAACAAGCACCTCAGCCCAGTATGGTAATCCCCTATCAGGCAATGCACCCTCAGCAGCCCAATCATGCTGTAGTACCCCAGCATCTTCAACACATTGCTCCCACCCTGCTTGTGCTCATACCCATTCATCATCGTGAACTGCTCAAGCCCCTCATTCTCCCTCTCCAGGATCTCTCTGATCATCGAATTCTCCACAAGTGCCTTCAAGTAATTAAAAACCCCATATACACTCCATGCCTGTAAAGAAGACTATTAGTTAGGAAACACTACCACCAAAAAAGCCATCAAAATTCAAGCTAGACTTAACCTTAGAAACACCCAACCAAGTATGACTGATAGACATATTTTAAGGAATGCCCTCACAAGTCACAACTCAATATCAAAAGCAAGAACCACCTGTGCAGAACACATTTATGAATAACTCATGAAAACTAGCGTAACCAACTGAGAGTACAATTGAACAAACAATGTGCAGGCGTCACATAAGTAATCAAAGTAGTATGTACTATCCACTGAACTAGGGACTACCCTTAACAAGCAAAAACCACCTCTGCCACCACAATCCCCATACAGAACTCAGGAATAATACTGGGACACAATGCAATGCAGTAAACTGCCACAGCACAAGCCACATCTGACACCTCAAGTGTAACTCCTGAATAAAATTGGGACTGGCATTAATGTCCGGTTCTAGGCACGAACCAGCTCCACAGCATCCTAAATATCACAATCTAACTGAAACATCGAGAATAACGAACCTATCATTCAGTAAACTATACTGCCAGGAGAAACTGAAATTCGCCAAAGGACACCATTTATTTACCATGCACGAACCACAATCCACAATTCGTACTAAGCCCACAAGTAAATGGACATAAGTAAGCGCGGACCTGGTCGAACCGCTTGAGTAGGCTGATCTCCTCCTCGGTCTTGTCCTCGAGTTTGGTGCGGTACTGGCAGAATCTCTGGAACTGGGACACGAACCCATCGACCATGTCCCAGAGCCACTGGTTGGGCAGCTGCATGGTGAGGACGTTCTGGAGGACGACGGTGAAGAGGGAGCAGTAGGTGTCCCAGGAGTCGGCGCGGTGCGTGAGGGTGAGGCCTGGGAGGCGCGCGTGGGCGTGGCGGGACGTGAGCTCGCTGTAGAGGAGGAGGAAGACGTGGTCGTCGTCGCAGTAGAGCGCGACGGCCTTGGCGGGCGGCCAGGGCTTGTCGCGGTAGACGCGGGCGGAGAGGCGGCGGAAGTCGCCCTCGTACAGCTTTTCGGTCCCGACCACGTCGCCGCCGCGGATGGAGCGGTAGAGGTCGGAGACGAAGCTCTTGACGGAGTCGGGGATGTAGTCGGTGTAGGAAGCCGCGAGCGTCCCGGAGGAGGCGGCGGCGGCGGCGGCGGGCATGGTCGCCGGTGAGGGGTCTAGGGCTTAGGTAGGGGTGGGGATCCTCGCTGAGTTTGCACCGGGGTTTTTGGGGTGGCTCTGGCCTCGTGTTGGCTGCCGACTGGTGCGGAACAGGAGAAATGGAGAATGTTGTGTCCAGCTGTGAGGCGTCGACAAAGGGAGGGGAAACAAATTTACGACTAGCACACAGAGAGAGCTTTTCGGCTAACTCCTCGCTCTTATTTTACTGTAGACCGATAAATCAATTCAGTTCTCCAAATGCTACTCCCTCCAATGCTGATTAACTGTCGCTGATTTCGTACAAAGTTGTACTGAATCAACGATAGTTAATACTCCCTCCATTTTTATCTATTCTGTATATTAGCTTTGGTTAAAGTTAAACTTTGTAAACATTGATAAAATTTATAGACAAAAATATTAGGGAAACACTTGCCATCAACCGGCGGATAACTGGGCGCGTCCGTCACCTTCCCTGCTTGATACGCCTCCCGCATACCATCCTTCAATAAACTCGCTTCTGCAATAGGAGCTATGCTTTCGAAACATATGCGGTGTTGCAATACTCTATGACTGGTCTACATTTTACAACAAAACTTCTCTTGCGAATTTTTTCTGCAACAAGACCTCAGTTGCAAAAAAAATGTACAACAAAACCCCAATTACAAAAAAAAACAAAAAAAATATTGTTGCAAAAGAATCCGCAACAAGACATGTGTTGCAGAAATAATTCCGCAACAAGACATGCGTTGCAGAAATAATTCCGCAACAAGACCTGTGTTGCTGAAATAATTCCGCAACAAGACCTGTGTTGCAGAATGAAGGCACGTTCGGCCGTCTGAAGCGGTAAATCTGACGGCTCGCGGCCCGGCTGATCTTTTAAAAAGATCAGCCGACGGATGCGTAACACGCCCCAAAATATTAACACCTGGCTGGTTAACACAGGGTCACCCTTATGTCTCGCTTTAAGCGATCACAAGGCGACGTCTTGAGTCGGGGGAGCCCAGATGGGCCCGTATTTTCTGTTTTTTTTAGTTTTCTGTTCTCGTTATTTGCTTTATTTTTATACTTCTCTTCATACTCTAAAATATTCTACATATCTATACACAAAACACTTTTCAAGGACACATTTGAAAAATATTGAACAAGTATATGAAAAATGTTGAATAAGTATTAAAACATGTGCACAAGTATTTGAAAAATGTTGAACAAGTATTTGAAATTTTTGAATAATTATTAAAAATCTTGAACAACTGTTTGAAAATTGTCAAATAACTATTAAAAATTATTGTATGAGTATTCGAAAAATGTTGAACAAGTATTTGAAAATGTTGAATAAGTATTAACAAAAATGTTGAACAAGTATTTAAAAAATGTTGAATAAGGATTAAAAAAATGTTGAATGAGTATTTGAAAAATGTTAAATAAGTATTAAAATGTCGAAAAAATATTTGAAAAATGTTGAATAAGCGTTCAGACAATGTTGAACGTGTATACAAAAGATGTTGATCACTTAATCAATTTTTTTTGACATATACAAAAATGTAGAATAAAAATGAAAACAAACATAAGAAAAAAGAAAAGGAAAAAATGGAGAAGAAAAAGAAAAACAAAGAAAATATAGAGAAGAGAAAAGAAAACCAAAAAATGGAGTAGAAAAATGAAAAAGAAAGAAGCAGTAAAAATAGGAAAAAGAAAGAATGAACCTGTGTGTAAACTAGCTCATTTTCCTTCTAGTATGTTGCACCCTACTTATTGAACCCGAAGCAGAAGCCGGCATAGTGGCTAGCGCATGTCGAAGAAACATGAAGATCCCAGGATCGATTCCTCGCGTGCGCAACAATTTTTACTCTATCTTTTTGAAAAAACCGTCTCGCTTAAAGCATTTAGGGAATTTCTAACCAATCCCTTATAATCGGTTAGAGGAGTAAATAGTTTCAGTTTTACTACTCTAATCGGTACCTAGCCGATCCCTTATCCATCGTAAGGGAGTAAAATTTTACTCCTCTCCCCTAAATTTACTCCACCGTGTGGCGGCTCAGTAAAAGTCGCGACTCTCCCTCGGGTCGCCCCCGCCCCTGCACTTTCGCTGGCGAGACTCCCGGTGACCCCCCTCCCTGCCGGCCCCGCTCCCCGTCGCCGGAATTAGGTGAACCGGCGCCGCCGTCGCATTGTTGTTGATTCATCGGATTGCTACTTTTCTTCTTTTTTTTGTCGGCTACTACATCACACGTTGATTGCACACAGCTGCAGGTCATTCCCTCTCGTCGCCGCCGGCCTGTTTGGTCAGAACGACACCGGTCGACCGGTGCACCACCACCGCATTGCAAGTGTTCGACGAATTGGCTAGGTGACTTTTTTGGTTGTTTCTTTGTGAACCGAGCCGTTTGGATTGAACCTAGCCATTTGAACTGTAGCTAAAAATGTCTTGTGTTAAGGGCTAGCAGCATCGAACCCCCAGCGATCCATCTTTAAATGGCCCCAGTTAGATTGGCGCAACAATGCACGATTCATCAGTTCTTTCCATGCAATGCCCTTATCTCTTTGTTATTATTACTAGTAGGAGACCTGCCAACTGCTAAGCTAATGCCAATAACAGAGGGAAAAAACTTTCTACTCTTTTTTCTTCGCAGGCTTACCGAGGAAAACTAATATGATAGGCTGTTGGTCACATAAAAGTGATAGCATGCTAGAAAATTAAGACTGTGGGGGCTAATAGTTGTAGCAAACTCATGCAATCTTAATTTAAGCAAAACATTTGTTTAAGCAACTGCAATGGGGGCAGGGGATGGGGGTGGTCTTCCAGTTGCTGAAGAATTCACCCGTGGCATTCTTTTGAGATAAGATACTTGAATGCAGCAAAGTAACCAAATTGTCTAGAGGATTTTCCAGTTGTGTACTAGTGTACTACCAGCCACCAAATTATCAATCAATACTTGTTAACCGTAAGCTTACACTGTAATTAGCCCCTCTCCTTGAAAAAACTAGTGCCTTGACCTGCTGCAAGTTGGCGCAGTTGATCCAAAGACCCATGTATGTTTTATGCACATTTGTGTAGAGATTTTCCTGTTTAATCCTGACACTTGCCTAGATGCACAATTTAGGTGACTTCATAATTCGCATGGAATCGGTAAGGCCACAATATGATGATTTGAGCAGATATGGGTATATCTACTTGATGAAACACAAGTCTGAAACATTTGAAAAGTTCAATGAATTTCAGAGTGAAGTGGAAAATCATCGTAACAAGAAAATAAAATTTCTACGATCTGATCGTGGAGGAGAATATTTGACTTACGAGTTTGGTTTACATTTGAAGCAATGCGGAATAGTTTTGCAACTCACGCCACCCGGAACACCACAAGGAAATGGTGTGTCCGAACGTCGTAGTTGTACTCTACTAGATATGGTGCGATCTATGATGTCTCTTACTGATTTACCGCTATCGTTTTGGGGTTATGCTTTAGAGACGGCCGCATTCACATTAAATAGGGCACCATCAAAATCTGTTGAGACGACGCCTTATGAACTGTGGTTTGGCAAGAAACCAAAGTTGTCGTTTCTTAAAGTTTGGGCTGCGATGCTTATGTGGAGAAACTTCAACCAGATAAGCTCGAACCCAAATCAGAGAAATGTGTCTTCATAGGATACCCAAAAGAGACTATTGGGTACACCTTCTATCACAGATCTGAGGGCAAGATTTTTGTTGCTAAATTCGGATCCTTTCTAGAGAAGGAGTTTCTCTCGAAAGAAGTGAGTGGGAGGAAAGTAGAACTTGATGAGGTAACTGTACCTGCTCCCTTATTGGAAAGTAGTTCATCACAAGAACCGGCTCCTGTGACAACTACACCAATCAGTGAGGAAGCTAATGATATTGATCATGAAACTTCAGATCAAATTACTACCGAACCTCGTAGATCTACCAGAGTAAGATCCGCACCAGAGTGGTACGGTAATCCTATTCTGGAAGTCATGTTACTTGACCATGGCGAACCTACGAACTATGAGGAAGCAATGATGAGCCCAGATTCTGTAAAATGGCTTGGGGCCATGAAATCTGAGATGGGATCCATGTATGAGAACAAAGTATGGACTTTGGTTGACTTGCCCGATGATCGGCAAGCCATCGAGAATAAATGGATCTTCAAGAAGAAGACTGACGCTGATGGTAATATAATTGTCTACAAAGCTCGACTTGTTGCGAAAGGTTTTCGACAAGTTCAAGGGGTTGACTACGATGAGACTTTCTCACCCGTAGCGATGCTTAATTCTGTCCGAATCATTTTAGCAATTGCCGCATTTTATGATTATGAAATTTGGCAAATGGATGTCAAAACTGCATTCCTGAATGGATTTCTGAAAGAAGAGTTGTATATGATGCAGCCAGAAGGTTTTGTCGATCCAAAAGGTGCTAACAAAGTGTGCAAGCTCCAGCGATCCATTTATGGACTGGTGCAAGCATCTCGAAGTTGGAATAAACGCTTTGATAGTGTGATCAAAGCATATGGTTTTATACAGACTTTTGGAGAAGCCTGTATTTACAAGAAAGTGAGTGGGAGCTCTGTAGCATTTCTGCTATTATATGTAGATGACATATTGTTAATTGGAAATGATATAGAATTTCTGGATAGCTTAAAGGGATACTTGAATAAAAGTTTTTCGATGAAAGACCTCGGTGAAGCTGCTTACATATTGGGCATCAAGATCTATAGAGATAGATCAAGACGCTTGATTGGACTTTCACAAAGCACATACCTTGATGAAGTTTTGAAAAAGTTCAAAATGGATCAAGCAAAGAAAGGGTTCTTGCCTGTATTACAAGGTGTGAAGTTGAGTCAGACTCAATGCCCGACCACAGCAAAAGATAGAGAGAAAATGAAAGATGTTCCCTATGCTTCAGCCATAGGCTCTATCATGTATGCAATGTTGTGTACCAGACCTGATGTATGCTTAGAAATAAGTTTGGCAGGGAGGTACCAAAGTAATCCAGAAGTGGATCACTGGACAGCGGTCAAGAATATCCTAAAATACCTGAAAAGGACTAAGGATATGTTTCTCGTTTATGGAGGTGACAAAGAGCTAGTCGTAAATGGTTACGTTGATGCAAGCTTTGACACTGATCCGGACGATTCTAAATCGCAAACCGGATACGTGTTTATATTGAACGGTGGAGCTGTCAGTTGGTGCAGTTCTAAACAAAGCTTCGTGGCGGGATCTACATGCGAAGTGGAGTACATAGCTACTTCGGAAGCAGCAAATGAAGGAGTCTGGATGAAAGAGTTCATTTCCGATCTAGGTGTCATACCTAGTGCATCGAGACCAATGAAGATCTTCTGTGAAAATACTGGTGCAATTGCCTTGGCAAAGGAATCCAGATTTCACAAGAGGACCAAGCACATCAAGAGACGCTTCAATTCCATCCGGGACCAAGTTCAGGTGGGAGACATAGAGATTTCCAAGATACATACGGATCTGAATGTTGCAGACCCGTTGACTAAGCCTCTTCCACGAGCAAAACATGATAAGCACCAAGACTCCATGCGTGTTAGAATCATTACTGTGTAATCTAGATTATTGACTCTAGTGCAAGTGGGAGACTGAAGGAAATATGCCCTAGAGGCAATAATAAAGTTATTATTTATTTCCTCGTATCATGATAAATATTTATTATTCATGCTATAATTGTATTAACCGGAAACATGATACATGTGTGAATACATAGACAAACTTAATGTCACTAGTATGCCTCTACTTGACTAGCTCATTAATCAAAGATGGTTATGTTTCCTAACCATAGACATGTGTTGTCATTTGATTAACGGGATCACATCATTAGGAGAATGATGTGATTGACTTGACCCATTCCGTTAGCTTAGCACTTGATCGTTTAGTATGTTGCTATTGCTTTCTTCATGACTTATACAAGTTCCTATAACTATGAGATTATGCAACTCCCGTTTACCGGAGGAACACTTTGTGTGCTACCAAACGGCGCAACGTAACTGGGTGATTATAAAGGAGCTCTACAGGTGTCTCCAAAGGTACATGTTGAGTTGGCGTATTTTGAGATTAGGTTTTGTCACTCCGATGTCGGAGAGGTATCTCTGGGCCCTCTCGGTAATGCACATCACTGTAAGCCTTGCAAGCAATGTAGCCAATGAGTTAGTTACGGAATGATGCATTACGTAACGAGTAAAGAGACTTGCCGGTAACGAGATTGAACTAGGTATTGGATACCGACGATTGAATCTCGGGCAAGTAACATACCGATGACAAAGGGAACAACGTATGTTGTTATGCGGTTTGACCTATAAAGATCTTCGTGGAATATGTAGGAGCCAATATGAGCATCCAGGTTCCGCTATTGGTTATTGACCGGAAACAGTTCTAGGTCATGTCTACATAGTTTTCGAACCCGTAGGGTCCGCACGCTTAAGGTTTCGATGACAGTTATATTATGAGTTTATGAGTTTTGATGTACCGAACTTTGTTCAGAGTCCGGGATGAGATTAACATGACGAGGAGTCTCGAAATGTTCGAGACATGAAGATTGATATATTGGAAGCCTGTATTTGGATATCGGAAGTGTTCCGGGTGAAATCGGGATTTCACCGGAGTACCGGGGGGTTACCGGAACCCCCGGGGGCTTAATGGGCCTACATGGGCCCTAGTGGAGAGGAGGAGAAGAGGCAAGGGCTGGGCCACACGCCCTACCCCCTAGTCCGAATAGGACAAGGAGAGGGGGGCGGCGCCCCCCTTTCCTTCTTCTCTCCCTCCCCCTTCCCCCCTTCTCCTACTCCAACTAGGAAAGAAGGGAGTCCTACTCCCGGTGGGAGTAGGACTCCCCTTAGCGCGCCCCTCCTGGGCCGGCCGCCCCCTCCCCCTTGGCTCCTTTATATACGGGGGCAGGGGTGCACCTCTAGACACAACAATTGATCTCTTGATCTCTTAGACGTGTGCGGTGCCCCCTCCACCATAGTCCTCGATAATAATGTAGCGGTGCTTAGGCGAAGCCCTGCGACGGTAGAACATGAAGATCATCACCACGCCGTCGTGCTGACGGAACTCTTCCCCAACATTCTACTGGAGCGGAGTCCGGGGATCGTCATCGAGCTGAACGTGTGCTAGAACTCGGAGGTGCCGTAGTTTCGGCGCTTGATCGGTCGGGCCGTGAAGACGTACGACTACATCAACCGTGTTGTTCTAACGCTTCCGCTTTCGGTCTACGAGGGTACGTGGACAACACTCTCCCCTCTCGTTGCTATGAATCACCATGATCTTGCGTGTGTGTAGGAATATTTTTGAAATTATTACGTTCCCCATCAGAAATAGCATGTTACATTTCTTGACAGGCAAATAAATAACTATATGAAAAATGATATCGTTGTCCTTGAGAAATGGGATGCAAAAAGTTTATCAATAAGCACTAATTAATAAGGCAGTAACAAGCTTCAGTCAACTGAATTTGCTCATTCAGATTATTTAATAGTAACTGTGCAGCTTGTCGTAGTGTAATCTCCGTATAATTACCTGGATTCATTGCATTGTAGAGTGTTTGTTACTTTATCTATTTTGCGTTCTTACAGTTTACGGTGTTTTGTAGCGACCAGACCTCAAACAGTCTGATCTCTGTGCATCAGTGTCATCCCTGGATCGGTAATGCTGACACGCACAGTACTTGAGGATTTATAACAGAGTAGCAATCACACACCTATTATATTGAATGTCTCAAAAGAGAACTTATTACAATAATATGGCTTAAGGCCATCTAAAAACAATAACAGCGGAAGGCTTGGAAGATAAAATGAGTCCATCAACTCCAACGGCATCACTGAGTGAAAGACAACGACCTATGGCACCTTACTCATCGTCTGAAAAGTCTGCAACATGAACGTTGCAGCCCGAAATGGGTCGGCACATGGAATATGCTGGCAATGTAACACAAGAGAGTAATGAACAGAATAAATGCTATCACTACATGCATATATGGCTGGTGGAAAGCTCTATGGTCAATAGTTTTGCATAAAGCCAAT